TCTTAACTTGTATCTAATTATCTTAATTTTACGAAACTATCCAAAAACTCCTAATTGAGGCAAAGCATTTTGTTTGGTGAGGCTCTAGGGTTTGCCACGGCAGTTCAGGACAGCATAATTACACCTATCGTCAAGTAAGTTTCTCTGATTATATACTTGAAATTGTTTTTTTTTAAAAAAAGAGCTAGGATAAGCAGAGTGAAAAATGAGACAATAGCATATAACTGAATGATGTACTGCTTTGGTTACTGAGGTTATAACAAGTTAAATGATGCTGTGATAACTGTATATAAAAGGAATTCACAAATTCATTTTCATGAGATACATTCCCACCAAAAAAACCTGCAAAATGATATAATACAACAACACCATATTCAGAACTCAATGAATACAGGTCTGCAATCAAAGTACTCTGGTGACAAATCTAATGATAAAGTTTATCAATCATTTTGTGATCATATGACATAAAGATGGGGGAAGAATACATATTCACACACACATACATATGTGTGGTAAAATAGCAGAAATGGACAAAAGATTCAGAAGCTGAAGTTCACTATCTCAGAGATTTCTCAAACTGAAAGTATAATCAATTTTAAGGAAGACTGAATGTTATGAACTGGCCAAGATTCAAAAGGATTTCTTGTTGATACTTGCTATATAATCAGAAAAACTTATCTCAACAATAGATAATTGTTACTATTATTTAAGAAAATTAATCCTAGAAATCAACAGTAGGAAAAATCATAAAAAGATCCTTGTGTGTTTTGACAGACTTTCACAATATGCCAGCTAAAGATTCCAGACAAAGAAATTCCTTCAAAAAGAAATCTGAATACTTGGGAAACAAATTTCCTTATTAGGGTATTGATAAAACAGAGGAAGCTGTCATCAGAGGAAAATGTAGCCCTGCAATTTCAGGCTTAGAATATGAAACAGAACATTCACCAAATGCCAAGTTTTTTCAGCACACATCATAGACAATAATACACTCTTTATTCAAAAATTCTTGGCATTAAAAGTTCTAATAATCTCTGTCTGTTTCCCAACAAAGTTGTGCCAGGTGTAATTAGATTTGCACATAACTACCTATGAATATTATATCCTCTAAAGTAAGGAAACTTATATTAACAGAGATTTTGAATAAATCCTCAAGATCTTAAAGTAGACTTGAAAAGCTCTCTTTTTACCTGTAACTGCCGGGTGTTGCAGCACTGTCAGCAAAGCTCAGAAATAAAGGGGTGGGAGAAAGAAGATTTAACATGAATTTTTTTTCAGTTAAAGTGGAATACAATGAGAAAAGCATCCTCAAGAAAATACAAGCAAGCTAACAATACGTACTGAATTTTATATCATGGCAAGGAATGCTTTACACTTTCAAATACCAATAACATTTCTTTGCTATTGGAAAGCAGTACTGTAGATCCTAGGTACAACAGATGTTTTGGGCAGAAAAAAATGACTAAATGAGAATGTTCTTAAGATGCATTTTATTCTGAGTACTGTAGGGTCATGCAAAATAAAGGCTTCCACTAGCAGAAAAGTGTTCTTCCTATTAATACAGGAGGCCCTAGAGCACTAATAAAAACTAGAAGGTGCTGGAACACAACACAAAAAAAGTAAACTAGAAAGTTTGTTTGTAAAAGGCAATGAAATCATTTCAATGTAATGAAAAACAAAAAGAAACAAGTACCAGTCAATACCTTCTAAATAACACCTAGAGATAAGTGGCCAATATCAGCTGACAAGTGAAGACATATCTTCACATATACATTTTTATATTAAAGCAGCATATCCACCATCTTTTTTTTTTATTGTGACATCATTAGCAATGCCCTAGGTATAGCTTCTCTTTCCGAAAACTGATGTTACTTACATCTGAGGTAAATCTATTAATTCTTTCTAAAACCCTATAACAATAAGTGAAACAATCAAGTTTGAAATCCATAGTTCCCCATTCCTTTACCCTGATAACCGAATTCTTAGATCTAAACCCTAATATAGCCAGCATTTAGCCACATCGCTACCTATAAAAAGAGAAAGGAAGAAGCTGATCCAAGGCATCCCCACCAAGGAAACAATAACCTGAGTGAATGAGCATTCTGAACTCTTCCCAAGGGCTCCACTCAAAACATAAGAGCCTTACACTGCCATACAATAATTCACATTAACAATTCACCAAACAACTCCTTTTCTTCTCACGTGTACTATTAACACATACATAGCAGTCTGTTCCCATATAAAAATTTGAAGTCTTCTAGAAAAGGACAGGGTTACCACAATCACAACCTGATACTCTTTTACAGTCCCATTCCATTCATGGTCATGACAAAGCTGTAAGGGACTACTTCTTGAGGTAAAAAAGTGGGGTTTTTGTTGTTGTTGTTGTTTGTTGGCTGTTGGTTGGTTGGCTGTAGTTTATTTTTCCCAGGGTTACTTTACCACCAAGCTATACTCTGGCCCTTTCTATTTATTTATTTCTTTAGACAGGGTTTCACTGAGTTGCCAAGGCCGTCCTTGAACTTGTGATCCTCCTGTCAGTCTCCCCCATCACTGGAATTACAGGTGTGTACCACTGCACATGGCTTAAAAGCATTTTAAAAATTGTATTTCTTTCAAAAAGTTTACAAATTCAATATTTTCTACCTACAACCAAGTAAAAAAGAGATGAAACGGTGGTGACAGTTGTTCCCATAACTGCTACAATTCTCAGGATGAAAAACTTAAGTATTTCTCAAATTACACAAGATTAATTTAGATGAAGAGCTTTGCTTTCTTTAGTTTGTCATGTACAGGCAATTTTACTCATTGTAGAGAAGAGAACAAGTAATAATATCTGCTCTACTATTTCCTAGAGCCTATGAAAGGAAAACAACAAAAGTTTTTGTTAAACTAGTTAAAGTTCATCAGAATCTCCAGGAGAAACAATAAGGGGAAGTCCTATGTATATAGTTTAATGAAAGTACATTCACCACTAACACCAAACAACCTGTCATTAAGAAGACAAATAACAAACAGTTATGTGCTAGAAATCTGGAAGAAAAATAAGGTAGGTTAAGGATGCCGGTTCCACTTAGGGAAGAAGGAAAGAAGAGGTGAGGGATCAATGACACCACTGTTCACTTATACAGGTCAATTCAAAAAGACAGAACAAGGAGGCCAGAAGGAATACTAATTTTAAGACCTGTTCTCGGGCTGAGGATGTGGTTCAAGCGGTAACACGCTCGCCTGGCATGCACGGGGCGCTGGGTTGGATCCTCAGCACCACATAAAATAAAATAAAGATGTTGTGCCCACCGAAAACTGAAAAATAAATATTAAAAAAAATTCTCTCTCTCTCTCTCTCTTTAAAAAAAAAAAAAAAGACCTGTTCTCACTGTGAACTAAAGAAAATAAATTCTGTTTAATTAATATTTTATATTGTTAAATGAATATTCATTTTTAATCACTGCTACTCAGAACCTAAACTCTTTTCTTTTTCTGACTCCCTCCTTAAAAAGTTGTGATATGGAATAAATTGCTATATATAAAGTATTAAATATACCTAAAGTGGGGAAAATAAGACTTGAGAATTTCCCATTAAGAAATAATGCTTTTATTTTCAAGCTAATCAAAAAGTTATAAGAAGCTTAAAAAAAAGACTAAATGTGGAATTTTAAAAATCCCTATGAGATAATAAATCAAGTGTTCTTTCCTGATGTAAATTTCATTGCTACAGACATGCTTCTAGTACACTTGGGCTTTAAACTGTTTTCCTAATGGTAACACATTCAAGTATGGTCCATGGCTGAGGAACAACACACAATAGTGAACTGGCTGGAATTAGGTGGGTAATTTGTACTCAAGCTGATCCAAATTAAGTTAACAGTGTATCTGAAAAGTAAATCCATCACCTGTGTCTCATTAGCACTGTCCTCCAAGATTCAAACACTAGCTTGGATTTAAGAAGGAGGTAAGGAAGTACAGTGAAACACAACAGGGAGAAATTTTATATAGTTAGTATATACAGGATTTTCTGTTAATGGAAACCCGGTGCAAAAATAAGAGATGCCATTTTCAGTGTCTGGGCCTGGTGGAATACTAATGGATTTCTTCTATTCCAACTTTCCACTCTGGAAGAAAATCCCTTTAATTCATTATTCCCTCAGAGTTCCTAGAGCATCACAGAACCACCTTCCTAAAATAACTGGTCTAGAGCCTAAATTTTCTATATGTAAGATATGTGCAGTGGCTCCCTGAAGAGCCATTCAAGGCCCTTCCTTACATGAGAAGGAGGAAGTCATGCATCCCTCAAAGGAAAAATAAGATTCTAACTCTGTCTTAAGTTTGTGATACATGAAACCTTTGACACAGCCTAACTCAAACTGTGAATTTTAAACGTTACATCAATATCAAGGATATATTTACAAACCACTGTGATAAAATATTCATTACTGGTTATTTTCACCATAATTCTATCTGATTGCCACAAACAACTTTACCACTTGGTAAATATTTTTCCTAAGCTTTGGTTAATTAATCTCTCTCCCATACAGTCCACAAATTAATTTAAAAAGTGTTTATATGTAACCACTTAATATTTAATATATTTCACCTCCTGCCTTTATACCAGTAACACCAACAAAAGTTACATACACATATGGGCTTTATTTTCCCAAATTAGGACAGCCAGCTCTTCCAGTAACAGAATAAAATTTTAGTTTGCTAAAACTGCCTATTGGAAATTCAGGACATGGCTTTATCCAAAATGAGGACAATCACATTAGCTTTTAAGACTAGAAATAAATGAACCTCCCTTTCTCATACCAGCCTAACCTGGAAATCATGGGACTAGGTGGAAGATAATACATTATCCCTAGAAACATGAAATCAAGTAAAACTTCTAAAAGACACCTTCCGTACCCCAGAAAACTACTAAGAGGCCAGAGTATCTGCACCAAATTACTACCAAGTCAAAAACATACAAAACTGGTTTTAAAGTAAAAAAGTAAGAAACAAACCTCAATTTTGTCTGTTTTGGCATCTCCCCAGTATATTTTGCTTTCATCATAATCCAAGGCTAAACCATTTGGCCAACCAAGAGAAGTATTAACCATCACTACTCGATCAGAACCATCCAGAGCTGCTCGCTCAATTTTCGGGATTTCTCCCCAGTCAGTCCAATACATGTACCTGCAGAAGTATACAGAAATTGAACCTAAAATAGAAAATAGAAGTGATATCCACAACACATATTACACTGTTATCATGAGTCAATGCCATAGAAGGAAAAGGAAATAACACATACATAGTCTTCACATGTGAAGATTATGTTTAAGAAACTTATAATAGAAGTAGATAAGCTTGCAGGGAATGTTCAGATAGAACACTGTTTCTACACTGATCCTGAAAATGCTTCCCAATAAGATTCCATATTTATTCATGATTTTTTAAAAAATATTGTGTGCCTCTTCCCATGAACTTTCTTGATGCTTATCATTCTCTGACAAAAAAGTTATCCTAGTAGGAATATCCAGATGACAAAATGAATTCGTCTAATTCTCCCTGAAAAGCCAAGTCATTCCTGTGGCTTCTGGATGATTATTGGTATACAATGAGGTATAATAATTTGTCACTATGTTCATCCCCAGAATGAATCCCACAATAACATTTGGAAGTATGTAGAAAGTTGTGCTACCTCAGACCAAAGTCCGGGTGGTATGCTCCCCGCCTCCCCCCAAAAAATGGAGTAAAGCTATATGGCCTCACAAGGTTTTAGAAACCAAATCATTCATATATTTGGAGAAATATGAAGTAAGATAATATTTTTACCATAAATACTGAAATGGAATGAAATTAAATCTTCAACAGGAAGGGAAAGAATTCTGAAAATAATTTCTTTCCACATTTTTCATGGTCATGATGCAATCTGAGCAAAATCTGCAGACAACACCCAAAGTCAGCAAATATGGACTTAATTTAGAAAGATAAATTATTTAAGACATCTGAGGCAAAAAAAAAAAAAAAAAACCCTAGAAATTCTCTAACTTGAGATTTTATTCCAATCATTATATTCTAAAAACAGCCATTAAAAAACTATTTATTAAAACTAACATAAACTTTATGTATTTCACATTGTCTGAGTTGATGTTTTTAGATGCCTGCAGGAAACACAAACACCAGACATATTTACTATCAGCAGAGTTTCTTACCCAACCATAGGATCTAATACAATAGCCCGGGGTTCTTCTAAGTCCTCTGAAATCAAGATTTTCCTCATGGTTCCATTGAGCCGTGTCACTTCTATCCGATCAGTACCAGTATCAGTCCAGTAAAGATTTCGTGCAACCCAGTCGACAGCAATACCATCAGGGTGGGCAATTTGAGCAGTAACCACAAACTGACTGCTAGATCCATCTATGAAGGAGCGGCGTATAGCTCTCACTTCATCATCAGTCCAGTAAATATAGCCTTCCACAGGATCATAATCTATGGCAATAGCATGACGGATGTCTTCTAACTGCAGAACAATGTCTGTAAAATCTGGTGTATCCAAAGAAATACGTCTCAAATCTGTCCTGCGGGCTAAAAGTAATAATTCAGTAGCACCTAAAACAACAAAGTGAAATGAAAGGAAAAAAAAAAAAATCACTTGAAAGCCACAGCCAAAATTTAGCCTCTCTAAAGAAAGAACGCAGAACTTCTTTAAGAAATATAAAATACATGAGTACAAAAGGAAATTAGTTCTCTTTAAAGTAGAAATGAAAACTAACACAATGAAATAGAAAGAGTTTATTTGAGGTCAAGCTCTATAATGGCTAACCTCTCCAAATAAAGAATTGGACGAATTAATGAAAACACTTCCTGGTTTCATTAATTAGATACCCAGCTATCTAATTACTTATTAAATGTAATCAAAAATGACTAAGTAATTTCTGAGTAGCTAAATATTTAAAGGAAGAAGGAGATGTAGGATACAGAGCCTTTGTTCAAGAAGCATGTTTTGAAAGCTACAGAAATCAAGGACAAAAATCTTTGAGTTCAATGTGAATGTTATAAAATTGGATTACAGTATTGTGATGGTTAAACAACTCTGTAATTTATTAAAAATCACTGAATAATACACCTGAAATGGAAGAATTTTATGGAATATGAATTAGATCTTAATAAAGCAGTCTTAACAAAGAAATACAAGGCAACACCTGACATAACTGAGGACAAGAGAAGTTTGGAGAAGGAAAAAGCAATGAAGAGAGGGAACCAGATAAACATAACACTGTGTTTAAGAGTAAGAGTAGTGGGGGGGGGGGGGAGGTAGCAAGAGTAGTGAATCCAATTTGATTCAAGTAGCTATACAAACTTAAGCAAAATATAGACTCTCTCTAGCCTCATTTCTACATTTAAATGTCATAAGGTCGCTGTGAAAATTAAAGGAGATAAATATAAAACTCAGGAAGATACTAAGCATATAAGTACTCAATAAAAATCAGGATGGTACTATTAAAAAATGAATAAAAATTTAAAATTTTTATTTCATTGAGTTTTAAATGGGATTTATTTACGAACTGTTTTTAACCTAAATTAGGATTCAATAAAAGATAACTGGGAATGAGAAAATTAAGCTCACTCTGTTTTCATTTTTTGTGTTCAAGTAAACCACCACCAATCATGTAACTACAAAACACTAATTAAAAACAATAAGCGAACTGACAACTAAAAGAGTAAGAAAAAATTCCTAACCCACCCACCCCCAAAAAAAGTGTCCAAAAGAAAATACGGGTATATAAACTTCAAGCATCCATCTGGAATTATATTTGTAAAAACTTAGAGGAATGACACCTCTCAACATAACATCAGCTATTTAACTCCAGAGCTAATTACAAATGAACTCTAACATGGAGAAAGAATATCCCAAAATGCCATATATCAAGTACAAACTAGGAATACTATACAATTCACTGGTCCTGCTGACTGCCAAAAGAAACCAGTCAAAACTCAGCAAATGAATAAGTCATAAAGCTGTTAATATGGGTATTATGATCAAAACATAATAGCTAACTTCAGTCTACTCTACCTGACAAATGTATGCCTAAAATTCAAAACTGTTAAACATGTACATCTGCAAAAACTGTGAGGCAGTAGACAGAGAACACAATTGCTAAAATAAATCCTCTGTTTTAAAGTCAAGCTACATTTTTAAACAAAAAAGCAACGTTACAAAAACCTTTTGTTTTAAATTGAAACCAAATTATTGTTTGCCATGGAAACTATCAGACTACAGTCGGCCTGCTTCACCTTTGACTATGAGGACAATTTATCAATGCCAAGTCATAACAAACATCTAGTACATGAACTCAATTCCATTTTTCTGACTCCCTGACCTCCTTGCCAGGAACTCTCTATTTCGCTGAAATAAAGGCTTCTGCTTTTCATAGTTAGATAAAGAAGCCACTGCTAAACATAACAATTTTTTTTTTTACCAGGTCTTGCTGGTTCCTAGAGAACCAGATGGTAATCCATAGGGGTAAGAATGAAGAATAATATTCTCATTAAGAAGAAAAAGAGAAGAACGGTGTTCTTCCAAATCAGAAGTCCCTTGAAATGTCCTAAATCAGTACACTTCTCCAACATGCTCTCTCTATATAGGGAATTAAGAATAAGTAAGGAGAAGAGGCAAAGTGCAATATGGAATTTTTTTCTTCTTCTGGAAGCACTTCTCTAACATTAAAAATGCAATTAAAAATATCATTCAACCATTGTTATAAAATATATTTATTCCATGATATTCTTTATAGCTAAACGGTTTAATAAACATTTTTGCCTTTATAGAGGCTCTTTACTTACAAGTGCCACCTATAGTTAAAAATGTATTTAATGAGATATAATACTCAATTCCCATAGTAATTAGCTATGATATCGGTAACTATGAAATCTGACAGAAAAGAAATAGTACCTATCTTTTCCCAAAATAGTACATTTCTTAAAATATTAAAACTGATTAAATAGTATTCAAAAGATGCCATAAAACACTCCTGTTATATAACCATTTGTGAGTAACTAGTCTCCCAAAGCACTATAACATGTAGAGTTTACTATAGAGAAATAAATCATAAAGAATCTCAATTGCTGGGCTGGGGTTGTGGCTCAGTGGTAAAGCACTTACCTAACACATGTGAGGCCCTGGGTTCAATCCTCAGCACCACATAAAAATAAATAAGTAAAATAAAGGTATTGTGTCCAACTACACTAAAAAATAAATATTAAAAAAAAAAGAATCTCAATTGCTGTCATAAAATGTTTTCCTTCTTACCATCTTTGCAGGTTTTTCCATTCTCCAGGAGTTTCACCCCAGTAGGGCAAGCACACTGATAAAAAGGCTTGACTGGAGACATCAAACACAAATGGGAACAACCACCATTATCAATTCCACATGGATTTGTAGCTGTCAAATATAAATCACAATGATTAAGGATGACCTCCCAGACTCTCAGTACACAAATGTTAACAACTATAACATGAAAAACTGTGATAAACCACAATTATTACCAAATGTCATCCAGGTGCTTGACTACCAAACCATCTGCAAGGAATTAATCATTGAGAATTTACTTAGCACTTTAGATCCAAAAAGTAATAAACAAAAAAGTAAAGTAGGAGATCCTCACAATCTAATCAGTAAGGTAAAATCAATAATAAAACAAGGAAATTAAATGCAATCTTGCACATTATATGTAAGTATACAGTCAAACATGAAATAAGTCACTGAAGTTTAAATAACTGAGGAAAAGCTTCATGGAGTATAGAGGACATGGCAGGAGCCTGCAAGACAGGAAGTACAGGACATTTCAAATGTATTAAATTCCTATGAACAGAATCTTGGGGGCCATACACTGAGTAAGGTATGAGGTGAATAATACAGTTGGAAGTTATGATTTCCATTGACTAATAGTAACTAAAGATTAATGAGCATACAGGACAGGAACACACTGCAATAGAAGGTACTGAAAGCCAAGAAAAGGAGAATGTTGAAAAGCTGTTCCTTGGAAAGATTAACAGAAGAGAGAGCAGAATTGATTAAAAGAGGAAAAAAAATTAAAGCAGAAAAAACCAATCAGTAAATTTGTAGAAACTATAGAAATGAATGTCAAATAATATTCAAATTAAAAAATTCAACATAAGATGCATACCAATGGAATATGAGCGAAAAGAGGAGAGTAACATCAAAGACAACTGCAAATTTTCAAACTAGTAAAACTAAAAGATCAACAACGACATTAAAAACACACACACACACACAGAGGAAAAATTTCTCCTTAGGGTGACCAAGAGAATAAAAATTTCACAAGTGACTAAACATTTTCTTTCTTTCTTTTTTTTTTTTAACAAAAGAGTAATTCACAATACAGTTTTAAATATTTTTATGGGCTCATGATCATGAGATTCCAATATAACACATCCAGTATTTGACTAACTCCCCCTAAATGGAGAGAGCTAATACAAAGAAACACATAACCCAAAAGCTTTTCATTTTTGGTTACAGAACACAATCTGAAATATATTCAGACACATGCCAGACATCTATTTACACACAAGTGCCAAACACTTAACATTCTCATATTCCTTTTAAGCCTAATTCCATTCCTCTCTTACAAGAGGTCATTGTCAACAGACACAGCCCAAGTCATCGTAAAAGGTGACCAAAAATAGAAGCAAAACTAAATTTAAAGGTGGGGGAGGAGGTAGGGAGATATGCAGGGAATTGTTTATTCAGGTACTTCATTCAGCAAAATTGAGGTGCTTAAATTTACCAACTAGAATAACAGTGTTTTCCATTCAAGAAAAGTGTTTTTTAAATGCTCGCACATGAATACATGCAAGCGCCCACAGAGAAATAAAATGAACAAGAAATACATTTGTGTATAAGCATAGCAAATGAGTTATCTCAATTTTTTTTATGCACCTCCACTACCTCTACCCCAAACAACGTGCAAGGTAATAACAGTGATAGATATAAGGATACAAATGATTTAGGTTATTGTTTAACCTGAATTACATTTCAATGTTTTCCCTTTTTAAATATTTTCCTACTACCTTCAGATATGTCCTTTCTCCTGACTCTCACTAAAGCCAGACATCCAAGAGCTACAAAGCTATTCCAACTTACAATTTAAAAATTAAGATCACTTACCATTTGGCTGCCTCTGCTGGCTGAAGGCATGTATATCCATGGGAGAGAAGATGTTAGAATGGATTTCACGAAGACCCTCGCCAGTATACTTGTTGCAAGCCAAAATGGAATGTGTGTTCCAGTCAGTCCAGTACAATGTGTCCTCAAATAACGTCAAGGCAAAAGGATGTGGAAGAGAACCTTTAACCACTGCCTGTCTATTAATGCAAAAAGAAAAACTCACTTTTAATTTTTCTTCTTTTATCATAACATCCTCACTTCCATTAAAATGGTCTTTGTCCACATTAACACACACAAATCTTAAGCATATATCTTTAAGTCAAATACATCTATGGAAAACAATTCACCTGATAAATTCAGATGATGTTCAAAAACCCCAATCAAGCTGGATGTAGTGGTACACACCTATAATCCAAGTGGCTTGGGAGGCTGAAGCAGGAGGCCACAAGTTCAAAACCAACATCAGCAATTTAGTGAAGCCATAAGTAACTTGGTGACACCCTGTCTCAAAATTAAAAATAAAAATAAAAAGGGGTAGGGATGTGGCTTAGTGGTTAAGTGCCCCTGGGTTCAATCCCTGGCATGAAAACAAAACAAAAACAAACCAAGCACGACAGAATGGTTTCTAACATGGCAGTAGGTCCCGAGTTCACTATAAGCCAACTGATATAGAAAGCCCAAGTACAAGCACCAAGGCTATCAATTTCCACTCTCAACTACTATCTCTGGACTCGCATCTTCCATTCTTTTATATATCATCAGAAGGAAAAAGGTGAGCAGTAAGGAAAATCCCAAGGGTCACAACTGGGATTGTGATTTAAGTAGACTTAAATCAGCCAACAGACAGATATTCCTTCCTGATGTGGAAGAACAAAGAATCTGAGCCCATTTCTTTCATCACTTCTTATAGTTTTAATAACTGGTAGTGCAAATATAGATAAAACAAAAATGGCACTCAGGAAGAAAACCCAAAAACCTCCAGCAAAAGATCATTTAAGTTTGCTTTTTTGCTATATTGTTATTTAATCTCCCAATTCAGGCAGTCTAAAGGAAGTCCTAAAAGGATATGGTCATGAGACAAAGGAGACCCAGAACTTATGTAAGCAATACATATTATATAAAAGGAAAAGAGCATTTAGGAATCAAGACACAGAACTTTGCAAAGTGTCAGTTACATAATTAGTAAATGTTCTAGAATAATGAATAAATCATGCTTTGTCTAAATAATATTCAAGAAAATAAATGCTTTAATATTTTCATAACCTCAGATTTTCTTCTAAGTCTACCCTAGGAAGAGAGGGAGAATATAAGCTAATGAAGAAAAATAATAATCACATATCTAAAGGAAGATAATTGAATTTTTAGATCCATGAGGTTTCTTGCTTATCTCTAATATCTACCAGACTACTAATATATTAAATTCAAGAGCAATAACATAATTGAGGGGACGTGCTAGGAATTTAACCCAGGGGCATTCTACTACTGAGCTACATCCGAAGTCTTTTTTTTTTTTTTTTGAGACAGTATCTTACTAAGTTGCTGAGGCTGGCCACAAACTTGTGATCCTTCCTGTCTCAGCCTTCTGAGCTGCTGTGATTATAGGTGTATACCACTGCTCCCGGCAAACTTTTTATTTAAGCAAAAAATAGTATCTGTTATTGTACATGGGATGATCCAAGTCTAAAGTGTCATAAATTCAGGCCAGATTTATTTTTTAAAAAATTGAATATAGGTTAGCATGATTAGTTTACCAAACAAACTTTATATTTTGGAACTTCATATCACTCTGACAGCCCATACCACCAAAATTTTCTCCTTTTATTTACCTTATTCTCTATTCCCCAGCATGTAACTTTTCCCTCTTCTTTCCCTAAAAGAACTGTTACAACACAGGGGCTTGTTTCCTCTTTTAAAATGGACAGTTATTATGTTAATTAAAGTAACTAGGTTATTTACAATAGTAATATCATAACTTAAGTCCAATTTTAAATATTTTACACTAAAAGCCTTCCAAAATTCTTTATGGGAAGACAAAGAACTCTGAGAAGATGCCAAGACAGGCATGTAATATCAATGAAAAACAAAGAATAAATACTTAGTTATTTAGCAGTTCATCAACTATCCTTAAAAACTGCAAATGGTGGGCTGGGGTTGAGCGCTTGCCTACGGATGTCCTGGGTTCAATTCTCAACACTGCATATAAATAAATGAATAAAGATTCATCAACAACTAAACAAATTTTTAAAAACTGCAAATGGCATATTCAGATCTTTGAAATTTTCTGGAGGAGAGAAAATAGGTCTAAGTCCTTTGTATCCTTTTTTTTTTTTTTTAAATGGGAGCAGATACTGGGGATTTAACTCAGGAACACTCAATCACTGAACCACATCCCCAGCCCTATTTTGTATCTTATTTAGAGACAGGATCTCACTAAATTAATTAGTGCCTCACTTTTGCTGAGGCTGGCTCTTAACTCACAATGCTCCTGTCTCAGTTTCCCCAACCGCTGAGATTACAGGCATGCACCACCTGGCTCCTTTGTATACCTCTAAATAATGTTAAAATTTACTCTACTGGGCTGGCCTGGTGGCACATGCCTGTAATTCCAGCAGCTTGGGAGGCTGAGGCAGGAGGATCACAACTGCAAAGCCAGCCTCAGCAATGTAGCAAAATCCTAAGCAACCTAGTGGGCAAGTTGGGGGGGGGGGGGGGGCTGGGCTTGTGGCTCAGAGGTAGAGTGCTCACCTAGCATGTGCAAGGCACTGGGTTCAATCCTTAGCACTACATTAAAAACAAACAAACAAATAAATAAAAGGTATTGTGTCCAACTACAACTAAAAAATAAAATAGTAAAAAATAACAACAAAAAGGGCTGGGGATGTGGCTCAGTGGTTAAGACCCTGGGTTAAATCCCTGATACCAAAATAAATAAATAAATAAAAATCACTATACTGAATTAAACATAGGAAAACAGATAGGACAAGCAAAATGCCTCCCTAAAAGCTATTATTCTTATCATACTGATCTGAAAGTACAGAATTATATAAACCAGATAAGTTTAAATGCTCCCTGACACTACTTACATCATTTCTGCTAAAACTTTTTAAGACTGTTTTCCTCATCTGTAAATAGAAGATAATAAAGTATCTTCACTGAATCACTATCACTCACTAAATCACAACAAATGCAAAAGCCATTCCATATTATGTTTGTTACTAACATTTCACAAATGATACATCAATTTCAGGATATACATTTTTAACAATTTAATATTTCTGATAAGGCTAACATTTTATAATGTAAACATTTCAAGAAGTAATCTCTGAATACTTTAAAAAAAATTTTGTAGTTGTAGATGGACATCATGCCTTTATTTTGTTTTGTTTTAATGCAGTGCTAAGAACTGAACCCAGTGCCTCATGTGCCACTGGGCTACAGCCTCAGTACCTAAATACCTTTTTAAAATTAACAGCTTTTTAGAATCAATAAATATAGTATACTAATGTAATACTGTATTAAGCTCTACCTTTTGAGATGATTGTTTGGGTACTAAAAATGTATAAGTTTGATCAGGGGTAACTACTGCTGCTGTACCATTATTTGGCCCATCAGTGAATATATTTGGAGCATTCATGATAGGTGTTTTTCTTGTCATTTTTGGAAAAACTATAGGATGCGAAGACCAAAAAGACAATAAAGGATTAGATGGTAAGTGGTTATCAAATGAAACATTAGATTTATACATGATTATTGCCCAAGTATTTAACTCATTAGCTAACTCATCAATTTGATCCATAGTATATGGAGTAAAAATTTTATTGGGAGAAATTCCAAACACTCCTTTTGTTGCTTTTTTTTCTTTGAGTATTAATTGTCCTACAGCCTCAGGATACCTAGTAAGAATAGTGTTAGGAGAATAAGATAAATGTATCCATAATAATGGACCTTCTTATCAAAATACTCCTGTAGGAATATTTTTTGTTGGTATTACAATAAATAATAAAGGCAAACTTACATCAATTCTATCCAAATGCATATTTTCCATACACGTTTCAATAATTTTTAATGCCTTTCTTGCTTCAGGCGTTAACATGCGGGGTGAATTTGGATCTGATGGACCTTTTAGGATATCAAATACAGGTCCCAACTCTCCTGTTGGTATGCCTAGATAAGGCCTTATCCAAATTATGTCTCCTAATAACTTTTGAAAGTCGTTAAGTGATTTGAGTTGATCTACTCGTATTTGAATTTTTTGGTGGACGGACCATGGTTGAGGATAATAGAACTCCTAAATAATTAATTGGAAAATTTAATTGTACTTTATCTATTGCTATATCTAGATTATAATTTTTTAATAAGTTTGTAAGTGTGGCATAACATTCTAGCAATGTGTTTTTATTTTTGTGTGCTAACAACACATCATCCATATAGTGAAATATTTGTAGTTCAGGATTTTGATTTCTAAGTGGCTGGATTGCTTTGTTAACATAAATTTGACACATAGTTGGGCTGTTAGCCATCCCTTGAGGGAGTACTTTCCATTCATATCTCTGATCAGGACCTTCATGATTCAGCACAGGGACAGTAAATGCAAAACGTGGACTATCCTCAGGATGAATTGGAATTGAAAAAACAAGCAATCTTTAATATCTATAGCTAAAACATACCAGGTTTTTGGCAAAGCAGACAATTGAGGAATCCCCGATTGAGCAGGTCCCATAATAACCATCTCATTATTAATGGCTCTTAAATCTTGCAATAATCTCCATTTACCAGATTTTTTTTTTTTGATGACAAAAATGGGAGTATTATGGGGAGATACGGAAGGTTGTATATGTCCCTCTGCTAACTGTTGTTTGACCAGGTCGTGGGCTGCTTGTATCTTTTCTTTAGTCAGGGGCCACTGAGGAACCCATACTGTTCTTTCTGATTTCCAAGTAATTTTTATTGTCTCAGTGACCCCTTCTTAAAACCCAATGTCTATTTATTCCTTGATCTATTTGTATTGGTGTTGCTATACCTTGTTCTTGTTCTCCTAATCTTTTTTTTTTCCTAAAACCTTGTCTAGCCCTAATAGTGGGCGCATTTGGATTGATGTTATTTGTTAATGTCAAACCTAATTGATCTAGGACATCTCATCCCCATAAATTTATAGGAAGATGATCCAATACATATGGCTGTATAGTTCCTTCACATC